AACTGTTGTAATCTCTCTTCTTGTTTATTTTGTTGTTCTAGCTGCCACTGTTGCAGGTTTTCTTGCAACTGTTGTAATCTCTCTTCTTGTTTATTTTGTTGTTCTAGCTGCCACTGTTGCAGGTTTTCTTGCAACTGCTGTTGCCTCTCTTCTTGTTTATTTTCTCGTTCTTCTTGTTTCTTTTCTCGTTCTTCTTGTTTCTTTTGCTGCTCTTTTATTGCTACCATCAAATCTGCGAAGCTGTAGTTTGGTTTGCCACTTCTCGTTTCCATTTTTTTTCGTCCCACTCTCTGACACCAATTTGTTACGCCACTGTGTTCGTTTGTTAATTTTCCGTAAAAATTCTTTCTGAAGAAACTTTAGCGATACAAGTCCTTTATTAAATAAAACTGTTTATTCTTTCTCAATACAACTTTGCAATACACTTAATTTCCACAGTCACGCTACATTCTCAAACAAACGCTATAATTCACAACGAACGATTCATGCGTTTGACTTAATTGTCCGTCTCTATCTCTGTCTGCAATTCAATTATATTGTTGCCGTCACTTCTTACCGGTCTTATATGTACAAAAAGTGTACATCTCGTTTTTTCGTGAATCTTCTAGAATATCATGACGTGTTACCAGCGTCACGTGAATACCGCTGTCGTAACAATTCGAAGATGGACCTGTAGCAGGTAGCAGGCACTGGCCATCTTATCAAACAGATTTGGAGTTTTCACACTAATAGCAAAGTTTAAGAGCAGAGTAATGAGGAAGTGCAAAACCTTACCCAAAGTTGTGAAAATACTTATCCAGATATATATTACCACATGTGAAATGATGGACTTTTTGACACAAGACCAATTAATATATGTCACAGTTGGTGAGGATATGTAAATTAAATTAAAGCAAAAGAGATTTCTGTATGTAAAGGCAGCTGTTCAGTTAGCAATAAAACTTCAGTCAATTAAGTCGTAGATAAACTACTAAAGACATTATCCTGGAATTCTGAAATTATCGGGTTAATATAATGTGGAGACATCAAATCACTCTTATAAAGGGCCTAGAATAATTCAAAAGATAAATTAGATAATTATTTACTCCGAATGGAAGAAGATCTTTTGATTGCAACGTGATAGGGCATGTTGCTTGAAAGTACAAACCTAAAGTTTAGGAAATAAATACTACTCCCAAAGGACCACAGGAAAAACAAATTGCTATAAATGGGAAAACATGGACATTACGTCGAAGTTTCTAATGAATCAGTCATTGAAAATATACCAAGGAGACGATATCCTGAAGATGGCGATACTTCACCCATCTTGGTTGAGGTGAGGAGTAGATCATTCAAACTAACCAGTCCACAAGTCAATGGGTTCATTGATGGGAAGCATTGCAATGTGTTTTTCGACACTTGTTCTACTGTTTCAGAGATAAAGCATGTATTTCCAACAATACAAAATTTGGAATTTATCATCGGTTCGGGAAGCTTCTCTATGTGTGGGTAGTAGACGTATACGAATAGTGTATATTGGGAATAGACTTCATACAGAAACACAGATTTGAGATTTGACTTGATTCACACATTTTCACACTTTATGACTGAGAACTCTTTGTGCATTACACGACAATTGCTCCAGCAGAGGTTGATTTTCTGATAAGGATGAAAGCACAAGACAACCAATCTCATCTCCAACAGAAAGAAGGATTGTCCAAACAAAGAGTTATCAGCTATGATCATGTTTGGAGATACAACTGCAGAAGAATGGCCAACTGGTTAACTTCAAAGAAACTTTTGTTAGAGGTAAGGTAACTTGCGGAAGAGTCTGAGGTTCAAGTCTAGATCACTTTCAGAGTAACAGAAGGCATGAAGCTATTAGTGGATTCCTTCGGACACTTACCCATAAAGAAGTCTCTCGGTAACAAGATGGCAAGTGATGATCATGGACAATAGGTCATCCCATCTTCGTATCATAAGACACAGAAAATAAAACCATTAAAAACCTTTGAACACTCTAGGGACAAAACATGAGTAAGGAAAGGATATCTTGTTTGGCTAATAACCATTTTGATTCATTTTAAGTAATAATTTAACGATTTTAACTTATATAGTGATCATAATTGATGT